GGTCACTGCGATTCGCGATGATCTGCTGTGACATCCCGCCGATTTGCAAGCCACTGACACAATTCCCGACAAATGAGAGGTTGACAGCCACTAGCTGCAGGGGATCGTCGGCTCCAACTGCATGAAGAACAGAATGCAAGGTAAACGATTTGTTTTTGCGACGAGAAGCACTGGTATTTGATGAGAATGACCGACACTCCAAGTGAGTTGCCAGGCAAACTCCGAGTTTGCCTCTAGTCTGCTAAACTTACAGTTGTGGATTCAAGGCCATCCGACTCGTCAAAATCAAAATCCCACTCATCCCAATCCGAATCCCAGATACTCGCAGCACTTCTCACCAACCTCGCCACCGATGGGTTGGTCGCCAGGGTTCGCAAAAGCAAGATGAATCGGTACTCGGAATGTCGAGGTTGAAAACGTCGTCGACAGATGTCACCGAAACGGGTCCAATCGTGCATCGACACGTCGCGGTAAAGAACCCGCTGCGCTTCCAGCCCGATCTTCTTGTTTACAAGGCACAGGGCAGCGAGATCATTACGGTAGCGGAGGGTGAAGCACTTGGCGCAGATGCCTCGCTGTGGCCCCTGCCATTGGCAAGCGTTCACTGTGAAATGATTAGCGTTTCGCCAGGAACCGCGGCGCATGTCATCCTCGTGGACTTCGATAATGAACTCGCAGATATATACTACCAGCTCGATGGGAATTCGTGATAACATGATGTGGTGGGCTTTTCGTTTTGGTTGGTTGCGTGGTGAAGTGTGGTGGAGACTGATGTGAAAGGAGAGACGAGAGAAAACCCGACAGTTGTGCTTGGATGCGTTTGGCGGGGAGGGATCTGGGAGAATTTAAGGTAAGGCATTCACCGTCCGGCCGAGGCAAAGGCTTGAAGCTAGAATGCTTGCCCAAGGAGTACTTCGGTTCCATCCAAGGTTGCCGGTGAGGTAGCAGGCTGGAGACAAAGTTAAAATGCCCCGGAATCCACCCCCCCGGAACCTAAAATGTGCCACTGGGGGAAGTTAAAACCCCGAACACTGCCCTGCCACTCATCCTCCCAGTCACTTTCCTGCAACCAACAACCCGACCTCACCTTCGATTCTCCCTCCTGTCAGGCACCAAGCTTTCCCACAACACAGCACGCTCCGCCCCTCCTGATTAACTCGACATGCTGTCCAAGCTCCCCGGTGAGATGCTTCTCTGCATCTTCGAAAAACTCGTCGAGATCCACCAAGACGAACACAGAAGCTCCAATTCCTTTTGCGGCACATGTCTTTGGACAAAGCCCCGCACCGACCTTAGGAATTTATGTTTGACCTCCAAGTACGTGGGATCGTGGGCAGAGTGGGTGCTCTACCGAAACATTCGGTTCGTCGGGCATGAGTATCACTGCCCGGAAAAACCTGAACCCCCTGATGAAAACAGCCTGGCACAGGGGAGCAGGCTGGAGAACATTAGGAAAACACTGTTCAAGCTGAAATCTGGGCCGCTTCGTGTCTTGGTAGACACGCTCAGCAAACGACCAGATCTCGCCAGAATGGTGAGGTCTGCCGACCTGAAATGGAAGTACATCGCACGCATGAACAACGAGGAACGGCTTGCTGTCATGTGGAAGCTCGGTACATGGTTCTCGCCAGTCGACGACTCGGACCCCGGAGAGACAGCGGCAATTCAGCGGATGAGGGCTTTGTGGGCGGTGTGCCCCCAGGTGGACTGCGTGCACGAGTACGTCGCCTTTCTCATGCCGCGCATGTTTCCCTGTCTTCAAGAGTGGAGCGTTTGGCCGATGGTTGGAGAAGATGGATGGTGCCGTAATCGGCGTGGTTCGCGTGCGTCTGCGAAAGAGTGGGGGCAACAGCTGTCGGAGTCACTGTTACGCATCATCCCCGACGTCGTATCGAGCGTGAAAAACGAAAGGCTCAAGACTTTTAGCACCAAGTTTGATGAAAACTTGGGAGCCCTTGCCAGGGCCGCAAGGATGTCGCAACCAATGACGAGCGTCTCAACCTTGACGCTCGAGCTGGAAGCATGGCACAACGACCCCTTCGAGCCCGGCGAACTGGACGCTCAAATGCCAAGCATCAAGAGCATGTTCCCCAACGTTACGGACGTCCGAATGCACCGGAAGCGTTTCACTCTTCCCACCCTGAGCACCCTCCTGGGCCACGGTGGTTTCACCAACCTCACGAGCTTCCAAATGATCAGCGACGACCCGTTCAACCCGGTCCATACCAACGACATTATCGCCCTTCTGGCTGAGTATAGTCCCGCACTGAAATACCTCGTCTTCCTCCTCCTCCCCGACCACCCATTATTCCACTGGCAGTGGCTGCCACCACTCCGCACCCTCACGGCGTTGACCCACCTCGAAATTTTTGTCATCTCTTGCGAGTTCATGGCTACAACCCGGAATTCCAACTCGGCAGTCGTACCCGCCTCCCTCCGCATTCTTCACCTTGCCACAGGGAAACCACACTCTCCCCATGCGGCAGACACCCTGATGGAGGCCCTGGAAGCGACCCATGAGCAGGCGAACAGGGGGTTTTATCCCAACCTGCGGGAGATTCGGGTGGACATTGCGAGAAGTGATGTGTCAATGGAAGAGAAGTACAGCGAGACCGTGGTGGTGGAAGCGAGATGGAGTGGCCTTGAGATCTTGAGCAAACCCAACCGTCAGGATACGAACTTGAAGAGGTTGGGGACATTTGTTGAGGTGTTCGACGAGATTGGAATTCTCTTGGTCCCGGTTATTTTTCCGAGTGGTAGTGGTGTTAGTTGGCCTGTGAGGCTGGCGAGTTTCCCAAAGGAATTGAGAGATGGATAGGTAGCTGTGTCTAGATTGACACCACTGTATATAGCCAACCATTGATAGTTGAGGTACCGCAACATGCATCTTTCATCCCCCCTTTTCTCAACTTACATCGCATCCCCATCGCGCTCAACCACAACAACTCACTCCACCCTCCTCAACTGCAAATCATCCACATAAAACACATTGCCCCCAACTCCATTCTCCCTATTCCCATACACTGAAAAATAAAGCCTCGGCAAGCTTACACCCACCGTAAACTCCCACTTCCTCTGCACCCACTCCCCCACGGGTCCCCCCTTCGTCGTCGCTTCAAACAGCTGACTGACCCCTCCACCTTGGACCTGGATCCGCGACGTCGTCGCCGTCGCGCTGTTGGACGAGTACCACCACCAGCTTATCTCATACCTTCCTGGAATCACCTGTATATCTCTGGTCCACATGCGGCTTCCACCGTTGCTGTTATCGAATGCTACCCGTAAAGCGTTGCTACCAGAGTGAGATCTCTCGTTGGAAATAGCAGCGTTAACAACAGTATCGCTCCCAGAGGAAGAGGATAAATTCCACCCATCCTCACTCATAGACCCGGACTCGAACCCCGAAATGGGAATGATCGAAGCGTCGGTTGGAACCGGTGAGTCAGGGCCCTCTTCGGTAGGACAGGCTGAGGTGACGGTCGTGGAGCAGTACACCGGGGCGTCGGTGACGCACCCCCAGGCGCTCAGACCGTCGAAGGCGCGGGTGGTAACGGCGGCGAAGCAAGATGCGATTTCGGGGTAGGGGGTTCCGGCGGCGATGAAGGCGTTGCGGCAGTTGGTGGCGTAGGTGGTGATGGCCGGCCAGGGAGCAGGAGGGCTGCGGCTTGGGCTGTTGCAGGGAGCGGGGATGGAGGCCCAGCAGGTCGAGGGGAGGACGGTGGTGACAGGAGTCGGGGTGCAGACTGAGGATGAGGATGAGGGGATGATCGAGGAGGAGGTCGCGGACGAGAAGACAGTTGAGGAGGGGAGGGCGGAGCTGGAGATCGAGATAGGAGTCGAAGAGATGCTGGAGATGGCTGTTGAGCTGATGGAGGAAGAAGACAACTCGAATGTGGAGCTGATTGTCGAGGACTCAGATAAGGGATGACAGTCGAGCTTAAGATGACGACAGACGAGTAAACCGAGCTAACGACTAAAGTTGAGAGGGTAGCAGCCGAGCTCGAAGAGATATCCGACGACGATGACGTGGACGCGACCGATGTTGTTGAAGAAGGCTTGTGGCCGCACTTCGGTCGGGCATCGGCAGTCGCGACCAAACACAACAAAACACCGGTCGGAAGGTCGGTCAAGCGAACGGACACCAGATGGCAACAGCCGAGACAAAAACGAGGGTATGGCTTGGTGGCTTGACCAGGGGAAACGATCGCGTTGACGAACGCGGGGATGCGCGTGGTTTTGATCAACCCGATCCGTCCGCCATCCAAGTTCTCGGGATGGTGGAGACTGATGTCAATAGATCGGCATCTAGCCCCTGAGTCCCCTGTTCCAGAACCAAGATGTGGAGTAACCATTCTCTGCGCGGGAAGGAATGTGTATTTCTTGTGGACCCTAAATGCATCCCGTCGCAAATGCTCCACTCCGGGGGATTTGGCCCTGAGATTATGTTGTTCAAAGCGCAATCCTGGAAATTGTGGATGGGCGGGCAGGTGTTGAGGCAGATTTTGTCAAGCATCTCAACAACACAAACAGGCAGAGTAGCCAAGCGGTCTACGGCGCCAGGTTCAGGCCCACCTGAATTCGCATTCAATGCTTCCTGGTCTCAGAAATGGGGCGTGGGTTCGAATCCCACCTCTGTCATCATTTTTTGTCTTTTGACTTTGGGTCTTGCCGCTTGCCTCAAGCCTCACACATTTTTTTGCCGTGCATTTTGGTGAAAATCATCACAAGGGACACGCAAAGACACGGCCCAAGCAAAGCAAAAAGAAACGATGCCAGCTGTTAATTCCGACGTGCTTTGGCACTCTCCACGACCAGCCCCTAAATTGGGAATAGACAGGTCAGAATGAGTCTCCCCCCTACCCATCCGATTCTCCATCCAGGCCTTCTTCCATGATCATGTCGACATCACGATCCGCAAATCCCAAGGGGCAAAAGTTAAGCGCATTACTGCCTGTCTGGTGCGAAAAACAAAGCTTTGAGCCCACTAGGAGCTCTTGATTGGGTTTCGCCGGGGATTGAACCCGGGACCTCTCGCAAATTGACTCAGGGAGTTACCCTAAGCGAGAATCATACCGCTAGACCACGAAACCAAGTCATGTTTTGATGTCGACGATGTTCCCTGTTTCCGTTTGTCATCCTGGAGCTGTGGTGTGGATCGTAGTGGAGACAGCGGACCTGAGAGGGAGTCATCGGGGCCCAGGGGCTCAGGCGGAGGCCACATCCCGGAGATACTACAGGAATTGCCTTTAGGAAGCAGAATTGGCTTTCAGCTAGAGGTCTCATAGAAAATCGCCATGGCGTGTTCCAACCCCGCCGGGCCCGTTGTTGGAGCGGGATCGGCCGCGGTTGCGGCACAGCGAGATCCCCGCATCAATAATGCAACCGTATCATGCATGAAAGCTTGTTCCGAGAGGACGCAGCTGCAGTGGCCTGCAGAAAATAGACCTCCGTCAGGGCCCGTAGCGGGATGGCGTCGTTGCGTGCTCTCAGCAGCAGCCCAGGTTGGCGGTCGGTGCGGGACTTCTTGTAAGCCCCGGCATATGGGCTCACACTGTTATTCCCGCCCCTCCCTTTCCAGCGCGAGGCGCATAAGATGCAAACCCAACCCATTTTCTTTGACTTCAACTTTTTCGGTCTCATTCATCACCCAGCCGCCGTGCAGCATTGGAATCGAACTCATCATGATGACTTCGTTGAGTTTCCAAGTTGGCATCGTCGTGAGCCTCCTTTTCAGGCCAATCCTCGGACATAGCCTGTTCAACCGTGGAAACACACACTGCCCCCCCTTCAACAATGGCACTTTTTCCATCCACCAATTCCAACTCTACCCCGACATGGCCCGCTACGACCCCCACAGCTGCCTCCTCTACATCAGGTCCGCAGCCCCCCCTCCATTCTTAGGTTTGACCCCCTTCCATCACTCCTAACACCCCCCCCCCCCCCTTTAGCTCCCTCTTCAACGGCACCATCGCCACTTTCTCCCCCCACACCAACACCACCCTCCCCACCATCACCTTCCCCGGCATCACCGAAATCTTCGACCTCCACGCCTCGGGCCTGCACCTCTCCCCCTCCACCGGCATCCTCTCCCTGGTAATCGACGCCCAACCCGCCTTCCTCACCGGCGGCGCCAACGCCTCAGGGGATTACTTCCTCGTCAAATACTCTACCCGCTCAAACCGCGAACTATGGCGGGCGAACCTCACATCGGTTACAGAAGCGAAGTGGTCTGGTTTTCAGGACGTCGCGGTCGACAAGAGGGGGAATTCCTACGTGATTGGGACGTATCCTAGTAGTATTTTGAAGGTGGATAAGAGCGGGAAGAAGATCACGGTGTGGGTTCCGCCGAAGACTAGGAATACGACTGTGCATGGGTTTACGGGGGTGGAGACGTTTGGGGAGGCGTTGTTGGTGGTTGATTCGAATGGCGTCCCGGAGGAGTTGAGCGAGGGGGATAGCCTACTTTGGAGGTTTGATATGCGGGATGAGAGGGGAAGAGGGGAGTTGGTGAAGCTCAAGCCGGAGGGGGTGAAGCTGGGTGTGCCGGATGCGATTTTGCTGCCGGGGAAGTATGGAGGGAAGGTGATGCTGGTGGCGTTGAATTACGTAGGCATTGCGGTGATGAGGTCAGGGGATGGGTGGAAGTCAGCGGAGTTGGTGGGGACGGTGAAATCGGATTTCCCGGCGTTTTTTCAGAGGATTATCCCGTCGGCGGTGCAGATTGGGGAGAAGATATTCATGGTTGGGCAGTCGTTTCCGGGGGAGATTGTTCCAGGGACGAAGGGGGGAAATCAGAGTGATTTCCCGTTCTTTGACATCACGGCGGAGGTTGATGCTCTGTTGGTTTGAGTGCTGGATGCAAGGAATGTGGACGTCGTTTCATCAGGTCATTATGGCAGGGGTCAAATCGTTCAATTCTATGGTTCTATTTGTCTAGTTCCCACCTTAAAGGGCGAGCTCGATTCAGGGGCTCATACCACCAAAACACCACGGTACCTCATCTTTCCATCCCTCAGCTTGGTCATTGCCTCTTCGACGCCATCCCTGGTCATGGGAAACGTCTCAATGATAGGTTTGATACCCTGCTTCGCGGCAAACCGCAGCATTTGCCGCACATTTGGCGTACCAGACACCACGTGGCCAATGACCTTCAAGTTACGGGTGATCAGGTCCATGGGCGTAAGCTTCATCTGTTCAAAGCCCACAGTCAGGGGGAACATCAACGCCCCCTGAGCCAAGACCGGGAGGTATCTGGAACTGTCAGTTTTGCGCTACAGCGCTTGGAATCATGGGTTTAGCGACTTACACAGCCATATCAGGAGACACACTCGACGTGATCAGGAGAGCCCCAACCTTTTCCACCTTGTCGAGACTCCCTGGCCCGCTGGCAACATGGAACTCAGAGGCACCGAGCTCGAGCGCCTGCTGCTTCTTGCTCTCGGTGCCAGAAAAGACAACAACTTCCATTCCCATCTTGGCCGCAAACTGGATAGCAAGGTGGCCCAGACCGCCAACAGCGACGATGCCAACGCGGGTACCGGGCTTGATGTTGAAGTCGGCCAGGGGGCTCCAGACGGTGGATCCACCGCACATCAACGGGCCGGCGAACTCGGATGGGATTTCGTCGGGGATTTTGAACAGGCAGGAAATGTCCCAGGCCACGGCAGTCCCGAAGCAGCCTTGGTCGTGGTTGCCGGTGCCGAAGAAGACCACGTTGGAACACATATTCTGACGGCCTGCAGCATCATCAGTCAAAGACGATATCTCGAGATTGTGACCTGAACGGTTGGAACTCACCCGAAACACAAAAGTCACAGTACCCGCACACCTTCTGGAAGTAGCTCATGCCGACGCGGTCTCCAACCCGGAACTCGGAAAGCGTGTGCACCATGGACCCGACTTCGGTGATGATGCCGATGCCTTCGTGGCCCAAACCTTGGTCAGTGTGTCGGTAATGCTCATCGGTGCCGCAAACACCACAGTGTGAGATCTTGACGAGGACTTCTGTCGGTCCAGCTTCCCGGTAGCCCTTGGCCTCGACGATGGACCCGCTGGCGGAGCCCTTGAAGACGGTGAAGTCGATGCCCATTTTTGCTGTAAGTTGAAGAGGTTGATGTGGAGTGATGGAAGTTGGTGGTGTTTAGCGATGGGGTCTGTGTCGTCTGTTTCCTGGATCCGAGTTGCCTTTATATCTCTCACGGTCACCCAAGACAAAACACTCCATACTCGGACTCGACACTTTATCCGTCTTGTCTTGATTTTTTTGATGTTCCGTACCAAGATCCACTTATGCCCGTTATGACGTGCTCGCCAATCTCGTCAAGATTTCCAGACTGCTCCATCTGCGCCAAGCATCGTCCAAAAATGGAAACCTGATAACAAACTCAGCCCAGGACCAACAAAAACCCCGGCTTGAGGTTGTGGAAGGTCAGTAATCACTGCTCCTGACGAACCGGTATCCAGCCAATCTTGAGGCTCTGACAGCCAGCCCATTGGGATGAAATCTGCCAAGCGTCTCGGACGATCTCCTGCAGTCCGGGTTCCGCTGACTCCGCTTTTGCCCGCCCAAGCCCCACTTCTGCCCGCTCAAGACCCACTTTTGCCCGAGGAGAAGCTGCCGTGCCTGGCTTGATAATGCAAGAGTGTCAAACCATAGGGCGTGCTCTACATTTCTGATTTCAACAACATTAAAGGACGAACATTTGTAATCAAGGCTCTATTCTCGTTTCAAACTTTGACATTAACCGTGCAGTTGAATGGCAAAACAGAACCCGGCCGAACCCCTTGGGATTGACCCGAAATCCGGTAACACCGGACCATCCAGTTGAATTGACCCCATCATCACCCCCTCGAAGCAACCACCCCCCACCACTTACACACCGAACCAGCCGACAACACCACCCTCTCATACGCCTCTAATTCTCCTCGCCCGTGGCTTAACTCCCTCACAAAATCCACAACGGTAGTCGTATCATCCCCGTTTGACACCCGAGACCGGACACTTTGTTCTTCAGCATCCGTATAAAACTCCCTTGACTCCCATGCCCTGGCTGGCTTTTTTGAAACCGGCAACAATTCCAACGCAGCAGACTCCACGCACCAGCCGTAGCGGAGGGCAGTGTAAACCGTGTAGATTTTGAAGGCGACGAAGACGGTGCGGCGGATGGATTCGGCGAGGAGATATTCTTCCCATGTTTGTGTTTGCGCGCCTGAATCTGGCGATGGAGATGAGGACCGTATGTTGTTAACCCGATGGAGCAGTCGAAGTGCGAATGCACGGACGGAGTACTCCTGGGTTTCTAGTTCGATGTCGGGGATGTATGGGTCTTCCTGCCGTTGACTTGGATGCTCGAGTTGAAAGGTGGGGAATCCGTCCGCGCGGTAGAAAAGGCGGATGATTTGGTAGAGAACGGCAGCTTGCAGTCGAGCGAGGTCGTCAAGGAGGGAATTGGGTTGATTGGCTGTCATGCTTTCGATGAGATCTTTAACCTGGACATCGAGGGCTTGGAAGAACAGGGAGCGGTTCATGGGGGTCAACGCCGTACATGCCGCGCAGAGCGTGAAAGCCGTGAGGAGCGGACGTGGGGTAGCATTTTGCGGAAACAAGGACTTGTGGATGAAGAGGTTGGACCCGTGAGAGGCAAAAATCAGGGGCGATTGCCGCAGGACGTTGTAAACCCAAGGGAGGGAAGCCTCGGGAAGGAGTGCCGGCATGGGGCTGACAACCGCTGTCTCCACATTTGACCGCGTGTGGGGGGACAGAGTCAGGGGCTGGCCGGATTGAGGGTGTTGCTGTGCCTGGCGTGGGCGGGGTGGGTACGGGAAGTGGCAGGTCTTGCCTGCCTTCTGGCATCGTCGACACTTGGGGTACACAAGATCGCACTTTCGTCGTTCCTGGTGGCATCTGTCGCAAGATTGTCGACGTAGAGACATTTGGCTGAATGTTTTCGACTTTTGCAATGTTGCAAACCTGAGCCCATGGAGAAAAATCGTGAATGTGTGTCTTCATGTTTGGGTTGGATTTGGAGCTCACGTTCAGGGTTGTCTTTATCCCTGATTACAAATCTTGTTGGAGCGGACAATCATGATA